TCAAATATTTGACCTGAGCCATACTTTTGAACAAATGGCCTTAGTAGATATCTCTAGAGTGTTCCACCTCACAATGTCATTCTTGTCAGCTACACACAGGATGTTTTCACCAATATAGACCACATATTAGCTCATAGAACAGGCTTAAGTAAATACAAAGGGACTGAAATTATCTCTATGCATATTACCAGACCATAGTGCAATGAAATTGGAAATCAATGGCAAAAGAAACCATAAGAATTTCATAAACACATAGAAATTAAATGTTACCCCCTAAACAACAAATGGACCACTGATTAACTTAAAGCATAAATTAGAGTTTCTACAATTAAATAATACCATTCAACATACCATAAATTATGTGATTCAATGAAAGCAGGCTTAAGGGGGAAATTTATATCAGTAATATCCTTATTGGCAAAACAGGGCAACGACAAATAAGCATCTTAATGGTGAACCTCAAACTTCTATAAAAAGAATAGCAGGATAGGCCAACAGCTCATATAAGGGAGGAAATTATAAAGATCGAGCAAAAATTAATGTAATCGAGACTTAAGAAAGCAATAGAATCAATGAATCAAAGAGTTGGTTCTTAGAAAGATTAAATAAAATTGACACACTCTCATCCAATCTTATCAAATAATGAAAGAAAGGATTCATTCTTAAATCCTTTGGAACTTCATTAGGAATGAAAAGGGTAAAATCACAATTGGCCTTGCAGAAACCCAGATCATCTATACCTATTTTGAAAACTGGTATTCTAATACGATGGAAAATGCAGAAGAAATGGACAGACCCCTAAATGTATATATGAATTACTGAAGCTGAATCAAGAAGATATAAAAATACTAAATAAATCAGTATCAATCAATGAAACTGAACATGTAATTAAAAACCTACCAACAAAAAAAAAAGCCCAGGCCCTGACAGATTCACTGCTGAATTCTAAGAAACTTAAAGACCTATTACCACTGTATCTCAAAGTCGTTAATGAAATTGAAAGGAAGCAATACTACCAAATTCATTCCTAGAAGCAAGCAATAAGCTGCTTCCAAAGCTAGAGAAAGACCCAACCAAGCAAGAAAATTACAGGCCTGTCTCCCTAATGAACATAGGTGAAAAAAATCATCAATAAGAGTCAGAGCAAGGAACAAGGAGAATGAGGAAGGAAGCTAGATACCTATCTGTAAGCCAGCCAGAGTGCAGACTAGAGAGAGCTGAGAAAGAAGTTAAGCCTCCACCTGTGAGCCAGCCAGGGCAAAAACCAGAGATAACCATGAAGGAAGCTAAGCCCCAGTCTGTGAGCCAGCTGGAGTGTAGACAGAGGAAAACAAGGAAAGAAGTTTATTCCCCACCTGTGAGCCAGCTTGTGCATGGGCTGTGAGAGAACAGCCTACTCCCCATCCCACCCTTGCCCAGTGAGCAACCAACTGATTTGGAGAAATTGTATTGCTTGATTAATTTTGCAAGCCTAAAAGTCAGTAGTCTGAGGAACTATTTAAAGGACAATATGCATCATAGTAACTGTTGAAGATTTCCTACTGCCTTATGACTTTAAACTTATTTTATTATTCCATTTTATTCCCCTTAAAATTAAATTTATTATTTATACAAAGAATAAGAATAGGAAAGGAAGAAGATAAATATTATCATTATTTGCATATAACATGACACTCTGCATAGAATACCCCAAAAACTCCACTGGATTTGTTTCTGCATCTTTTAATCTGTTCCATTGATCTTTGGGTCTGTTTCTTGTCAATATGATTCTGGGTTTTTTACAGTAACTTTATAGTGTAATTTCAAGTTAGGGATTGTGATTCCATCCACCTAGCATTTGTTGCCCAGAATTGCCTCTGCTATTCTAGGTCTTTTCTGTTTCCCAGTGATTTTTAGGAATGATTTCTCTTATTCTGTGATATGCAATTGGAATTTTGATCAAAATTGCATTAAATTTATGTCTTAGTTACTTTTTACTAGTCTCTGAGACAAAATACCTGAAGTCCAAGTTGGGAAAGGAAAGGTTTATTCTTTTTTTTTTTTTTTTTTTTTTTTTGGAAAGGTTTATTCTTACAGTTTTTGGAGGTTTCAGTCACATTCAGTTGGCTCCAAGGCAGGCAGGTATGGCTGGGCCGCAGTTCATGCCGGAACCAGCAAAGAGCAAGACACACCTTCTTCCTGCCATTACATCACATCCTGGCTCCACCCCTATGTGGGTGGAGCACGACACCATCAATCTAAGCGCTATACAATGAACCATCACAAATGAGCAATGCAAATTCATGAGGCCTAGGGGCCACAAACATAAACCATGACAATTTATATAATAGTTTTGGAAGCATGGCCAATTTTCTATATTTGTTCTTCTTACTCAAGAGAAAGGGATAATTTTTTGATAGTCTCTTCAATTTCCTTTTGCAGAGTATTTTAGTTTTCATTACAGAGGTCTTTATATTATTTGTTAGATTTATTCCTAGGTATTTAATTTTTTTGGATGCTAATGTGAAAGGTATTGTTTCTCTAATTCCTCTCTCAGTGAATTTCGTATTCATGTACAGGAATGTTATTGGGTTTTGAGTGTTGATTTTTATCCAGCTACACTACTGAATTTGTGTATTAAATCTAGCAGGTTTTTGGTGGTGTTTTAGTGATACTAGTGAGTATCATGTTTACATTATTGAAGTCTTCCCCTGAACTCTCAAGACTCCTGTAGTTCCCCACTCACTGAGCTTTTGTTTGTGTTTTACTTTTTGAGACAGAGTTTTTCTCTGTAATTCAGGTTGGTCTTAATCTCACTTTATGCCTCAGGCATTGAACTCACACTACTGCTACCTCAGCCTCATGGGTGCTGAGATTACAAGCATACACTACAACCCCAGTCCCGTTGGGCTTTTGCAGTTTATTATCTAACATACATCTCAAGCTCAGAACTGTCCAAAACATAGTCCTAAATGTCCCCAACTATATATATTCTGTGACAGCCTTCTATACTTAGTGACAATTCCAGCTTTCTGGTTCCAAAAAAATTTTAGACATCCTTTTTTCTCTTTCTCACTACCCATACCCAACACAATTTGAAAAATTTGGTTGTTATCCCAATATCCTGCCCTGAAGTTCTGTACTAATTTCACTTCATTGTGTTGATTGGCTTTCTTCTGACTTGTTTTGTTTTATTTAACTATCTTTAAATAAAATAAATAAATTATTTCATTGATTGTCCTCAAATATGCCCGGGATCAACTCAATTCTAATGACCTCTACTGATAACACTCTGATGAATTAATTCTATAATGGACTCCCTATTTCTGTCTCCACCCTGCTTTAAATATTTTTAATACAGAAGCCTTTGTCACATTAATCTTTTAATTTAAACCATGTCCAAGCCCTCATAAGACACATATAGCCATAACAAGTTAGTCTCATCAATTCTCCAATCTCTTCTCAGACTCTTTGCATTAAGACACATTGAATTTCCTACTTCTCCTTGAGCACACAAGGTCACCTCCACATTTGGATCCCTGCACTTGGTGATTCTCCCACTTGAAATGCTCTTTGCTTTTATATTCTGTACTTTTATACATTACTTTCACCATGAAAGCTGTTTGTATCCCCTACTATAAGTTGTCTGAATAACATCTCCACTTTTCCATATAGTAAATCCTTTTTAATATACTACATAGTTTACTGACAGCATCTTTACTGATTTATTGCATCCCTGATTTGCTAGAACAAATACATGATTCATAAATCCTGCTCCCTGAAGGAAAAATTTTTTTCTATTATTCTTCATTTCTTAATCTTTGCCACTCATAATGTGATTAACATAGAGTACATGTTTTGGCATATAAATGTTGGATAGATGGATGGATATAAATGGAGAAGAAAAGTTAAATAGATATTTAAAGTGGATGGTAGCCATTAGGTTTTAGCTTCTGAACCAGAAGGGGAAAACATCACAGACAAGAACAGAAGTAAATTCAGTAATAAAGACACATAGTTCCACATATCTTCTACCTGATAACCAGAATACTAGATAGATATTAATATAAAATGAAATTAGTTCTACATAGCTATTAGAATTAGGGTAGTTTTGGCTTTGGCTCAAATAGCTACACTCACAATAAACAAGGTGGAAAGACACTTTTGACTGCAGCAGCCAAGAATGACAGGCCATCACTCCAGGGTTGGGGAAGAGGGCTAGAAGAACAGCTGACAAACTCAAGGTAACCAGCTTTTATTGTCCTTATGCCAAGCAACAGGCATATCACTAGGCTACTTCACTAACATTATCTCACAAATTCTTACCACTATGTAAAGTTGATACTACAATGTACTTACAAATTAAGGAAACTAAAGTTTATAAATGTTACACTCACAATTCCACAAATACACAATTAGGTAAGGCTTCAGTCTAGATCTATATAAATCAAAAAACCTTGCTCTTTCTATATTATCAAACTCAAAAATAAATGATACACACAGCTCTAAATGTTTTGGCTCAATGAAAGTTTAGTCATTCATCTTGCATTGTTTCAGGAAACCAATGCTTGATTTTAGAATTGAAACTAGAGATAAGAAAGAAGCAGATAAATTTGAAAGATTTTTTTATTATTAATGTTGAATTTTGGGTAATTAAAAAAAAGATGAGCCTATAATCCCAGCTAATTTGAAGGCTGAGGGAATAGGATTTCAAGTCAGGCCACCCTGGGTGATTTATCAAGACTCTGTCTCAAAATACAAATTGAAGAGGATAAAGTAAGTACAATGTCATAGGACCTTTTTGTTTGGGCACCATTACCACAAAAGAAAGAAAAATAAACTGAAATTGGCCATTGTCTTACATTCAGTTTTACCAGTACAAACACACACACACGCATGCACATGCACACACACACACACATACACACACACACACACACACACACACACACACACACACACACACATCTATGTATCCCAGTAATACCAGTAAGAAAACACTATAAAGTATTAAAACTTACCACACTTGTGTGTACATTCAATTCACCCATGCTCATGAGTACAGGAGATGTGCCACTAAAGAGCTAATACTCCTGGCATAAGATGCTTACTGATCAAGAAAAGTCTGTTTCAACAGCATCAGACTGAAATTAGTCATAGGAATTGCTTTTTCCCACACACTCACATTTGTCTCTGAGAAGCCAACGCCTTCTACTCCACCCAACTTTCACAAACCTTGCACAGAGAATGAACTCTGGAAAAATGTTTGCTGACACCCAAATCTGATTTGACTATCTCTAATCTCAAGTTCTAAGTGTGAAAAGAAAACCTAGATAAGAAGCAGAAAGAGATCAAGCTGATAAAATTCACAAATCTAATGGAAGACTCATATTCCTCCCGGGCTCATAAATCATTCTGCTCATTCTCACACTATGCTTCTCAGTCCTCTCCGTAAAAAGAATGAGAAAACAAAATGAAGGTCCAATTTTTTTACTATGATCTCAGAATTACCTCAATGAATTGCTTCTGAAGAATATCCACTGAAAAAATATCAGATTGTTTGCTCAAACATTTATTGAAATGGTGAAGTAAAATACATTATTTTGGGAACAGTGGAACAGAAAACTTTTTTATTTTATTTTATTTTTTTTAAATCTTGTTTAAAAAGAAAAAGAGAAAAAAACAAAACGAAACAAAGCAGTGTAAGGGTACAAGTAATACAGAACTATAAAAAAAAAGTAAGAAATCACCAGTTAATAGATTACATATTATCATCTTAGAGATAGTTGCTCAAGTCACAGTATCAAAGCATACAAAGTAGACTTTCAAACACTGAGACTGCAAACAGTTGTGTTCAATGATCTAACCAAAAACATTAATATGGTCAGCTATTTAACACCCCTAAACACACTTGCTGTTGTATCTTTTAGAGCACTTTTTTTCCTTCTCTTTTTTACAACAAAATTTACACATTTTGGGTTTTAATTACGCCTTGGTTCTTATTACTTTTTTGGGGGGGGGAGAGAATAAAGCCAAATATAGCAAAACAAAGCTGTCAGCCAAAACCAAGGATAGACATAGCACATAATGTAAAAACAGAATACAAGGTTATCAACAATGGTTACCATAATGTCTCTTGATTCCTTAAAAAGAATTATCTATCTCATTAGGTATTATAAAGTTGAACAAAACAGTAGAGAACAAGACCAATAAAACTTAAGCATTGTAAATATTACAGGACTTCGAAAGGAGACAATAGTCAAACCAGAATGGGCATCTTAGTGAATCTTATTGCCTTCAAAGTAGTTGCCTACACCCTCAAACTTGATACTATCATACAGAATGGAACAGAGACTAATCAGTCAAAACAAGATAGTGGGAGTATTATAGGACTTCAAAACAAGTCAATAGGAAATCAAAAAAAGTTACTATTATATATCCTGCGAATTTTTTTTAATTTTTCCCCTTAACTAAAAAAAACCATAAAAAATAACTAAATAATTTTTAATGAATAAGGGAGAGATTGAGATAAAAGAGGACATAAGAATATAACAATACAGGTCAAAGCATGACTGTTTCAGCAACCTAGTGCTTCACCACCAAATAACCCAACTTAATAGTAGTTGCCATAGTGTCTTTTTCCTTGAAATATTTGAGTAAAACTTCATATACTATAGCTGCAAATATTTCCATATCATGAAGCCCAGAATAAAGCCTTTCCAATTAATAAGTGAAAACTTCATAAGGCTTCAAGGCCACATAATGAGGAATCATGATTACCACATATTTTTACATATTTCAATCATTATTTACATTAGCGAAACTATTTGGTATTCACACATGCAAGATTGATTTATTTCACTTATGAGTATGGTCTCAAGCTGCGCCCATTTATTGATAAATATCTCAATGTGATCCTTTTTTATAGCTGAGTAATACTCCATTGCATAGAAATATCCCAACTTTTTTATCCATTCCTCATTTGATGGACACTTGGGTTGATTCCAAGATCTGGCGATTACAAATTGTGCTGCTATAAACATAGGGGCACATATATCACTGTGGTATGATGCTTTCAGTTCTTCTGGGAATATGCCTAGAAGAGGAATAGCTGGAATAAATGGGACTTCCAATGCCAGCTTTTTGAGAAATCTCCAGACGGACCTCCACAAAGGTTGTACCAGTCTATATTCCCATCAAAAGTGTAGGAGAGTTCCTTTTTCCCCACAGCCTCTCCAGCATTTGTTGTTGTTGGTTTTCTTGATCCTGGCCATTCTTTCAGGAGTGAGATGGTATCTCAGTGTGGTTTTAATCTGCATTTCTCTAATGACCAAAGATGATGAACATTTTTTCATGTATTTATTTGCCATTTGTATTTCTTCATATGAGAAGTGCATATTCATCTCAGATGCCATTTTTAGATTGGATCTTTGAATTTTAGGGGTCTGAGTTTTTTTAATTCTTTACATGTTTTAGACAAGAGTCCCTTGTCTGAGAGAGAGTTCACTAAAATCTTTTCCCAGTTTGTGGGTTTTCTTTTCACTATGCTGGAGATTTCTTTTCACATGCAGAAACTTTTTAATAAGAAGTGGTCCCAGTTATTGATTCTGGGAAGTATTTCCTGTGCGGTTTGAGTCCTGTTCATGAATTCTCTACCTACTCCTATGTCTTCAAGGTTTCTACCCAATTTGTCTTCCAATAGATTTAGTGTTTCTGTTTTAGTATTCAGATCTTTGACCCATTTAGATTTTAATTTAGTACATGGTGATAGACATGGGTCTAGCTTTAGTTTTCGGCAAATGGAGAGCCAGTTTTTCCAGCACCATTTATTAAAGAGACTGTCATTCTTCCAGTGAATCTGCTTGGCTCCTTTATCAAAGATAAGGTGGTTGAGTGTGTTTGTAGTTGTGGTTGTATCTTCTAATCTATTCTATTGATCTTCGGCTCTGTTTTGATTCCAGTACCATGTTGATTTTACTACTGTTGCTTTGTAGTATAACTTCAAGTCAGGGATTGTGATGCCTCCTGCCTTGCCTTTGCTGCTTAGAATTGCCTTTGCTATTCTAGGTCTCTTCTGGTTCCAGATGAATTTTAGGAGTGATTTCTCGAGATCTATAAGGTATGTTGACGGTATTTTTATTGGGATTGCATTGAATCTGTATAACAGTTTTGGGAGAATGGCCATCTTCACAATGTTTGTTCTTCCTATCCATGAACAAGGGATGTTTTTCCATTTTCTGAGATCATCTTCAATTTCTTTTTTCAGTGTATTATAATTTTCCTTGTACAGGTCTTTCACTTCTTTCATAAGAGTAATTCCTAAATATTTCATTTTTTTGCTTGCTAATGTGAAGAGTGTGGTTTCTCTTATTTCCCTCTTCGTGATTTTGTTGTTTGTGTATAGGAATGCTATTGTTTTCTGAGTATTGATTTTGTACCCAGCTACATTACTGAATTTATTTATTGTATCTAAGAGTCTTTTAATGGAGTTTAGGGGGTCTTCTATGTAGAGTATCATGTCATCTGCAAACAATGATAATTTAACTTCTTCTTTTTCCTATCTTTACCCCTTTTATTTCTCTCTCTTGCCTAATTGCCCTGGCTAGTACTTCCAGTACTATATTAAATAGGAGTGGTAATAAAGGACATCCTTGTCTTGTGCCTGATTTTAAAGTAAAGGCTTTCAATTTTTGGCCATTTAGTATAATGCTGGCTGTTGGTTTGTCATAAATGGCCTTTATTATATTGAGGTAAAGACCATCTATTCCAGTTTTCTGTAAAGTTCTTATCATGAATGCATGTTGGACCTTATCAAAGGCTTTTTCTGCATCTATAGAAATGATCATGTGATTCTTACTTTGGCTTTACTGATATGGAGGATTACATTTATTGATTTACATATGTTGAACCATCCTTGCATTCCTGGGATGAATCCCACTTGGTCATGATGTATAATCTTCTTGATGATTTGCTGCATCCTATGTGCCAATATTTTATTGAGGATTTTTGCATCTATGTTCATTAGGGAAATTGGTCTATAGTTCTCTTTTTTAGTTGGGTCTTTCTCAGGTTTTGGTACTAGAGTAATATTTGCTTCCAGGAATGACTTAGGAAGGATTATTTCCCTTTCAATTTCATTGAATAGTTTGAGAGTGTCAGCATTAGGTCTTCTTTGTATTTCTTGTAGAATTCTGCAGTGAATCCATCTAGGCCTGGGCTCTTCTTTGAATTACATTTTCAACTTCATTAATAAAAATTGGGTTATTCAACAGTTTTACATCCTCTTGATCTAGCTTTGGTACTTCATATGTTTCTAAGAATCTGTCTGTTTCTTCCTTGTTATCAAACCTTTGAGAGTAGAGGTTTTCAAAATAGGTGTTGATGATCTTCTGTATTTCTATTGGGTCTGTAGTGATTTCACCTTTTTCATTTCTTATTGCATGAATTTGAGCTTTTTCTTCCATTTTTTAATGAGGTTGGCTAGGGGCTTATTGATTTTATTTATTCTTTCAAAGAACCAACTCTTTGATTTGTTGATTCTTTGGATTGTTTTCTTAGTCTCTATTGCATTGATTTCTGCTCTGATTTTTATAATTTCCTCCCTTCTTTTGGTTTTGGGCTTGACTTGCTCTTCTTTTTCTAGCTGTTTTAGGTGTAGCATCAAGCTATTTATTTGTAATCATTCTGATTTCCTGATGTGGGAACTCAATGCAATAAATTTTCCTCTGAGGATGGTTTTCAGTGCATCCCACAAATTCTGGTAAGTTGTATCTGCATTCTCATTTTCTTTTAGGTAATGTTTAATTTCTTCTTTAATTTGTTCTGTGACCCACTGATTACTCAAGAGTGTGTTATTCAATTTTCATGTGTTTGCAGGATTTTTGCAGTATCTTTTATCATTAATTTCTAATTTCAGAGCGCTATGATCCGATAACATGCAAGGGATGATTTCAACTCTTTTGCATTTGTTTAAATATGTTCTGTGAGCTAATATATGGTCTATTTTAGAGAATGATCCATGTACTGCTGAGAAGAATGTGTATTCTGATGTTGTTGGGTTGAACATTCTGTATATGTATATCAACTCCATTTGTTCGCAGGTGTGATTCAGTTGTGTTATTTCTTTGC